TTACATTACTGTTTTCCCAGAAACTGGCAGCGATTCCAGGTAGTCAGTGTGGGCAGCTCTATGCTCCTGCTGAGCCAGGAAATGGTTGGTGTCTTGTTGTATAGCGGTTGCCTCTTGTTGTACAGCAGTTGCCTGTACCAGAGTCTTCAACAGGTCCTCCATTATAGCACCAAGTAGGTAACAGTCTTAAAGGTACAGTGCTACTTGTTTGTTTAACAGGTCTGCCAAAATAAAAGTCCTCAAGCAGACTTCCGGATGACTGGCACACCCACAGACTCTCAATGTGCTACTGTGCCCTCATTCTCCATCATATTGTGATCCTTGTTTGTAGTTAGCACGGTCCTCTAGGGTATACAACAGGCACAATACTTTGGTTTTCATATAATCCAGGCAATTTTATTGGCAAGTCCACACAGCAACACAACTAAAACATAAATACAAGAGGTTTCCCCTTTAAACAAAAACCTAACTCATCTGAGCACTGACTGACTTGTAGTATCCCTCTCTATCAGGGTTACACTAACAAAAACTTATCATTGGGTTGCACCAACCTTATTTGATAACTGCACTCCAGCACTCAGTCACCTTGACTGCTTTCCTTCCTGCACTCCCAGTGCTCCAAGCCAGCCTTGACTGCTTCCTTCTGCACTCCCAGTGCTCCAAGCCAGCCTTAACTGCTTTCCTTTCTGCACTCCCAGTGCCCAGTCTCCTTGACTATCTCACAGGAGAGAACAGCGTCTCTCCCTCCTGCTTCCCCCTTTATCTGCCTAGCAGGGAGGGGTTTATTCCCACTGCTGCAGCTGATTCTCTGCAGCTGAGCAGTGGGTTGGAGACCGATCAAAACTCTGGCCTGGAACTTATTTCTCCCAGTTGTATGCAAACTGCGGAGTGGAGCATTGGCCCACCCTGCTCTCCAAATGCTCCACCCTAGGGGCCGATAACTAAACTTTGGTGTGTGTTGCCTACAACACATACTACACATACTCTCCCTGGGGTTAAATGTTATAGGCCTATCTGCCTTCACTTTATCACAATATATATATATATTCACATTTCTGTTAAGTGGATTGCTTAAAGCAAGCCAGACTGGAGCAGTTAATAAAATAAATGTTTCCTCTAATTTTTCTTAGTTGGTGTATGCAGAAATTTTCTCTTGTGTAAAAGGTTTTTCCGACCCAAAATTTTATGCGTACTGAATGTTTGTGAATTGTAAATCTGAAATAGTTTCTCGATAATTTTGGTACAGCGCAGCCTCTCTCATGGTTTATAACACTACACTACAGAATTACTACGTGATAATGTAGTATTTGTAGCTATACAATCGTATTACTGTAATATCAGCCATTGAGACAGACAAGGCTCTCTGCTAATGGCCATTTTGGTCTGTCATACAATCCATAGAAAGCAACAGGGGGAAAATGAGCAGACACGAGTACACACAATTAAAATTCTTCAATAAAAATGTTCCAGCTTGTTGTCTGTATTCTTCACCACAAAGCTTCAACCCTACCTTCACCACAGTAAATAGCAAATTATTCCATAAAACAAATTGATCTTTCATTCAGCAAAAAGAAAATATTGGTAGCTTGTTGACGGTATTTGGGCAAGCATATTAATTCCCCAACATGGGCAGAGACAGTGAATGCAGTCCAATAAATGTATACATAATATCATTATATAGCTGAAAAGAGACATGCGTTCATCAAGTTTAGCCTTCCTCACATATGTTTTTGCTGTTGATCCAAAAGAAGGTAAAAAACCTAGTCTGACGCGCTTCAAATTTTGCAACAAACTAGAAAAAAATTCTTTTTTGACCACAGAATGGCAGTCAGATATCTCCTTGAATCAAGCAGCTATTACTGCACTAATTAGAAATTATATACCTGTATGTTATGTTTTTGGAAGTATTTATCCAATTGCTGTTTAAACATCTGTATGGACTCTGATAATAAATGCTTCTTACACACAAATAAATTCAGATGACACAATTATAGCAAACATTATAGGGAGAGGAGGAGAGATGTTACATCACCATACAACTTGCAAAAGGAGCTCCTTGCCCAATAAATGGTGACATACTATCTCACTGATTTCAAATATTCACTGACAGACAGACTCACTGAAAGAAACACGCAAACTGACAGACACACACGCAGACAGACACACTAATTAATAGACACACTCACACCACTCTCAATGACAGATTCACAATCTCACTGATTTGAAAGGCTCACTGACAGAAACACGCATTCTACCAGACACACTGACTTCTTGGGGGATCTTCTCCCTGGGGCCCAGTAGGGTTTGTCTCCCTAGGGTCTAGTGAAAATCTTTTCCCAGTGATCCAGTGGGGATTTTATCCTTTTTATGCCTTCATCATGCTCCAATGACCCCTATTTGTCTAGTGAACTGCTTCCAGAAGATCTGGAAGCCGCAGCAGACCGCTCTCAAACAATGACTGTCATTCTTTGCAATGAAAATTGCTCAGAATTTACATAAGCCAGTCCCAAACTCTAGTTCTCAGCTGTCTGATGATACCCATACTGCCCATACAGACTCCAGGCACCATGACCACTTTAAATCCTTGAAGTTATTATGGTGCTTGGAGTAACCCTTTAAAATTATTTTTTTTAGCCTGTGAAACCCTGACACCATTTAGTAAAATGTAAATGGCATTGTGGTTTATTTGTTTTTGTTTATGGAGTAATCACTCTCTAAACCAGTGGTTCCCAAACTGTGTCATCCCCAAATTGTTTACCCGGTGCTATGATCATAGCACCAGGAACCATGCTTCACTCTCCTTTGCCGGCTCTACAGGACCAAAGAGGAGATCGGAGATCTTCCTCACTGGCCCGCTAGCACTGTAATCCTGGCAGCCGGCAGAGGAGGGAGAGAGGAGTTGGGGGAGCTCTAACCTGCTGCTCCGCTGGGGTCTCCTCTTGTGAGCTCGGAGCATTGCCGCGGTAACCACTTGGACCACCAGGGCTTCTCCACCGGGCCACCGGGCCACCAGGGTTTAGTACTGTCCCCCCTCCCAGACAAAGGTAAGTAGGGAGGGGAGATATGAATTTATCTTTTCTAATTAAAAAAAATGTAAAGTATATATTTATCAGCCCTCCTACCCCCACAGACCCACATCCTGCCCCACGCTGCTTGCGTGACAAACTATGTATAAATGCTAGCCCTGAAAATACACTAATTGAGAACTTGTTACAGCACTCTTTCGTGTCTGTTGTTATTTGCTAAACAAGAACTCCCATCAATTGATGTGGTGATCGGAGATTCGAGAACTGAGGGAGTTAAAGAGAAGTCGATTAACCCTTTCACACTGCCTACCCCACACACACTGTACCTCACGCACACACTGCTCCCCACACACTGTTCCCCTCATGCACACACTGCCCCCCACACACACTGCCCCCTCACGCACACATTGCCCCACACACTATGTACCACTGTCACACATACTGCAGCAATCACACACACACTACATCCTTCTCACATACACTTCACCCCTCACACACACACACACACTGCACCCTTCACACACATTGCATCCTTCACACACACACACACACACACTTCCCCCCACACACATTGCACCCCTCACACACTACTGCCTCTTTCCCATACTACAGCCCCTAGCCCGGCAGATACCAGGTATGTTGTCAAACTGTTTTTAAACAGTTTGACTACTTACCCGAGGAGAATCTCATGACACTCCTGGCACCATAACCACTACAGCGTGCTGTAGTGGCCATTGTGCCTGGATTGTTTCTTTAAATAATCTACCAGTGCCCATCCCACGATTAGGTTCTGGATCCGCCCCTGACCGGGAAACATTTCTGCTGAACAGGGGCCCAGTATATTACACAGCAATGTACATATATACTACCTAGAAATTTGTTTTGACTTGGGGCGCCTTGGAAAAGTATTGAAATATTAAGGGCGCCTTGAACATAAAAAGTTTTGGAACCACTGCTCTAAACTGCTCTAAACTGAACTCATTACTATTTAGCATAGCTGCACACTTATGCTACATAGTAAATAGCAATTTGGAGTAAATTTGCTAGGACACTAATACAAAAACTGAGTACAATGAATTTGACTTAATCACAGAAAATAGCTAAAATGGATCATATACAGTGAGTAATGATATATCTATATGGATTTATATAGAGCACAAGCACAGCAAGTCCTTTTTAAAAACAAAAAACAAAACAATGTAGCAGTTTTCAGGGCAAGGCTTGTAGAACATGGCAAATACATAAACATACCAGACACATTTGTGCAGCTTGTCAAGTTAAATGTATAGAAAATGATTTGAAGTCTGTTTTATTCCACATTAATTGTTACAACACAAATGTCTAATTAGTTTGAATTTAATAAGCAGATATATCATAGGCATCTTTTTCAAATCAATGCTAAATAAAACTGAACCATGGCATTAATGAAAAGACTTATTTTATTTACCCCTGAGGCACGTTTTCTATGAAGTCCATCTTTAAACCCACCTGTCACTTGTACGGTCTCTGCGTGCTTTATAAACATTCCCCAGGCAACATGTTAGCTCTGTGATGGAGGTATATTCATCACACGTCTTCTTACATGGTACAACCATTTTTTTCACTCTCCTGTCTTGCCACAAGCCAGGTGACATGCATAATGGTACACATGAGGGTGTGTAGATAATGCCGTGGAACCTTAAAAAGGTCTTCTTCTGTGAGAAGATACCTTTTACCATCAGCCATAATCTACAACCACTTTTTTTGAAATGGACAGGCAAAGCATTAGGTTAGGTTAGAGTTAGTAATACAGAGTGCTTCTTTTCTCTCTTCATTCCTCTTTATTTGTTTGCATATTTGTGGAGTAGGGGCTCAGGATGCAGAGGATGCTCTGAGCAGGAGATATGTGACAAGAGTCCAGGTTCCAAAGGGGTAATCAATAAGCAGGGTCATTTCAAAAGTCAAAATGTTCAGAGTCCAAGGGTAGTATACACCGGATTCAATCAAAAGTTATTAAGTGCGGGTAGTACACACTATGCAGCTCACCAGACATCTGAGAAACGAGGTTTAAAGACCATGTTTAGGGCACAGGGTGAAGCCATATCTCTATTCCTGCACCTGCATCTCCAATTCCTGGTTGAGATTGAGAGTCCTTATTTACTGTATATGCCACCTGCTCATGAACACAACCCTCCTAGTGCACCATCCTTCTCCATTCCAAGGTCTTGAACTGCCACAATATGTGCTGACAGCAGTTCAGATTCTGCAACAGAAGACTATCTAGCAGTCTTTCCTTTTTTGCTACAAAGCTGCTGCTGTACTTTTGATAATTTAGGAAATATAGCTTCAGATCAGAAATAAGACAAATTAACTATTTAATTCAAGAAACAGAAAGTAGAACTGAGTTATAAAATGTATATCTTCCTCTTAGCCTATGCCTGATAATAAAAAAAAAGTAATGAATGACCTTTCCAAAATCACTTTTCCACAAATGGCTAATACAAATATATAAAGGAAGAATTAAAAACAAATGTGACCACCTCTAGTCAGTTTGGGAGTTTTCTGCCCTACTAATAGTACCTTACCCACTGTAAGTCCTTACAGAGCTGGGCGATAGTGCGGAAGTACATAAAAATAGCCTCTCATCTATTCCATCACTGCAGAATTCCAGACTGACTCTGGAAGCAACATCAACAGAAGAGCTATATGTCAAAAGCTTCATGGATAGGTAGCTGTTCTCACGCCTCACATCAACATGTGCAATGCCACGCGTCAGTGGTGGTATAAAGCCCACCACAACCACTGGCTTCTGGAGTTGTCGAAAGGTGTTCTCTGGATGAATGACTACTGTAAAGTTTGGTGGAGAAGAGACTATAGTCTGGGACTGTTTTCCAGGGTTCCAGTAAAGGATTATCTTAATTTAAAAACATTTTTAATTAAACCCTTAACGCTGTTACGGTGTTCTATGCAATCCCCATTATAATGGGCTTTAAAGCCGTTGCGGTGGCATAGAACGCTGTAACGGCTTAAGCCCACAGGAGGTCCATGGTACTTACCTCCAGCATGATCCTCTTTGGAAGGACTGCCTGACAGCCCAAGCAGCCCTCCCCTGGCAATTCAGGCTCCTGGGGGCCATGTGATCGCTCTTAAAGAGCGATCCCATGGCCCCCTTTAGGTGGCTGTGGATAGCAGGAATTCCTTGCACACACGCTCTAAATGCGGTTTGCCAGGTGCTTGAAATCAAGGGAAAATATATATCTATGTAGAATAGTGATCAGCACTCACGATCTTGTAGAAATTAAAAGTTCAATCTTTATTGAAGATGCATTAAACATTTGATCATTCGATCAACGTTTCAGTCCTCATCTGGGACTTTCATCAGGATCAGACAAACAATAGGCTAAACATGCACATTTAAATAAGAAGAAAATTTGAGGAAATTGACCTACCCCAGGTGCCTTGACTGATACCGCTAACGTTTCCCAGTGCAGTGTGAACAAAGCCCTTAGATGACATGCTGATGTATCACATGTTTCTATGGTAGCAGGGATCGTTGCTAATCACCAAGGAAACAAAAATAAACATCCACTGTGTTTTAGGAGTTGTGAAGGAAAGCAGTGTAGGGTGGGACTTTGTTCACGCATGCGCACAACACACTGGGGAACGCTAACGGTATCAGTTACAGCACCTGGGGTAAGCCAATTCCTCTAATTTCCTTCTTATATAAATGTACATGTTTAGCTTATTGTTTATGTCTGATCCTGATTGTCTTGTTGTATTTGACCCTGAAGAAGGCCCTTATCGGGGACCGAAATGTTGGTCGTCATTTGTCATTTTTAATCTATTATAATAAACTGAAGTTTTAAGTCCAGAGAGCAGCCTCCCTCCTTGGATTGTCTATCTATTGGAGCCTTGGTCTTGCGCCCGATAGTGGTATACTTTAAATGTGAGTGCTGGTGATATATATATATATATATATATATATATCGACGTTTCGACCTCTCCAGGTCTTCCTCAAGATCTTGAGGAAGACCCGAAAAGGTCAAAACGTTGATCGGATTTATGTAAACATTTTGTTACATTAAATACCAGTGATTTTTTTCATAAAGACCGCAGAGTGCATCTCCTTCTTCCATACAATACATACTACTAGCGTAGAATTGCAACAGGGCATACTATTGACATATAGTACTGGAAAGGGTGCGTGCCAAACTTACTTCCCTGTGTTTGTTCAGGATCTTTTGGCAACTGCACAGCCCTCTAGGGTAAGGAAGCCAGGCCAAGACAAAGTCTAGTTTCAAAGGCCTCTGGCCTGTTTATTTTCTGTTGGTAAGAAGTAACAGGATACAACAGGATACAACAGGATACAATAGGATACAACAGGATACACCAAGCAGCAAAACCTTCTTTCTCCTCAAAACACCTTCTTTCTCCTCAAAACACTTTATTTCTTCTCAAAACACTTCCCTCACTCCACCCTGCTTTAACTGCAGTTATATAGCTGCTCACAGCCCCTACTGGCGAGGCTAATGACCTCGTTAGGCAGTGAGCCAGAACTCCTTAGAAAACCTGGGCTGGACTCATGCACAGCCACTCTGACAGTGGGTGGAGAATCGGCCCACCCTGCTCTTCCGAATACTCCACCCCAGGGACCCAAATAACAACAGAGAAAAAAACCTGCATTTAACCTTAACTTTCACTGGGGCTGCATGTGCTTAACTACATGTCAGGATAGTGGCTGCGCAAAAGTCTGGGTGCCAGATATACACCCTTGACCACCATCCCCAACACTCTGTCACTATATATATATATAAATATACAATACACAAATATATATAAATTAGTAGCAGCTCCTTTTAGAATATAAAATCTGTTTACATTGAAAAATGCACCTCTGAAAGAAACAGTGTGTCCAGCCGGTACCTCTATCACAGAGGTACAACTACAAATAAAAAATATCACAGAAATGGCTACATTATGTACTGCAGATGTTTATGAATTAAAAAAAAATATATATAAAAATGAATTTATGAATTTAGAAATTAATATGTGTAAATATATTGTGGGCATTTTGTAAATTACATTTTCAGTCCCATGAATGGATATCAGGAAGTCAGGAAGTCCTTGAAAACGATATCTCAGAATCCTTGGCCACAACCTCTAATCCACACAATCTGAAATGCGCATTTGAAATATTATGGAATATATCAGTCTGTGTATGTGCTGCTCTCTCTCCCAAGACCTACCTGATATTGTAGAATTACACAGGGAAGAAGCTCATCCACCACTTCTTGCTATAGGCTCTAAAACAAGGATTACCATATTCACCATGTTTTCAGGGATATATATACATACTGATGGGCAGCAAATGAAAAGGGTAGCCCTGTAGTATGTAGAATTCAAATGAAGGTGTGTAAGGTGATATTCAATAATTAGGCAATGTAGAATCTTGCAGAATATACATCATACATACTTTTGTGGAAATTTCATTAAACCAAAAAAAAACATTTGTGAATTCAGGCAAATAATGCTGGATGAGAAGGTCTGGCTTGCAATCTGCATTTCAATTCATCTCAAAAGTGTTCAGTAGAGTTAAAGTCAGAGTACAGTGCAAGCCCTTAAGTCATGCTTTGTGCACACAGACATGTAGGAACAGTGAATGTCCTTCCCTTATTTATTGCCACAAAGTTGGAAGCAATAGTCCAACATATTTGTATGCTGTGGCAAATATGCCACAGTATCCAGAGTACTGAAGTATGTAATGAAAACTTTTTTTTTTTTACTGGGCTAATATAATATTTAAAATACAGGCATTCTAGAAATCACTAAGTCTAAAGAAATACTACTGGACTGATATGGCTAATCCAAGCTATATTATTCTGTAGCATTAAGAAGACCCTTTACTGGAACTAAGAGGGATAACCCAAAGGCCATTTTTTGTCTTCCACCAAACTATACAGTAGGTACTACACATTGCTGTAGGTGGATATTTCCTGGCACCTGCCACAAGCAGATTATTTCATCAGATTGACAGACATTGAAGTATGATTCATCACTCTGCTAATTTGACTTAAAATGTGTATTTTTTTTTCTCCACATCTTCCGGTTTAGTGGATAACATAAATAACCTTGTGTATGTTAACAAACCAACAACAACAAAATAAGCAATATGACTAGAAAAATACAAACAAAGAGAATAAATTAACATTAACCAATGATGCATACTTAAGAACCAGTCAAGTTATAAGGGTCACTTAGTAACTTATTATGCCAGAAGGGGTCTATTACACTGGAATTCTATGTATTTTATGTAAAGGTTGAGTGCTCTGAGAGAAGAAGTACTTTAAAAAAGCATGCTTTAGGCTGAAATTTAAATCAAAAATTGGTTCAGTGGGGAAGAGTAAAATGAAAAAGATTCTGAATTTGAAAATATAAGAGCCAAATCCAGGGAGAATTAACTGAGAAATAGTTTGGTTTTCAAAGCTTCTTCCATTTGCTTTGAAAAATAAATCAGAAAATATTTTTCTCTGACCAAAAATACTTTATCTTAATAGTAAGATGTATACTAATATCTAACTTACATGTGACCCATACTCTTTGAGAGGTGCAAACAAAGGCAGACCAGGACATTGTCCTTGTAATCTCCCATAATTATATGTATATGAAGAGGACCACTTGTGTGAGTGCAATCACAAAATAAACCATAATACTTAAGTCATATAATTTATTATGCCAAAAAGGCAAAAAAAAAGGAAGAAAGAAGAAAGTGATGCATTCGTCACAATCTCAATGGATCCTATAGATACAATTGAACAAAAGATAGAAAAGTAAAAATAGGGGAACTCTCAGCCTGCAGTAATATGATAACTGAAACATCCATAAGTGACTAAATAAAATAAAAATCAATTCATTTAAAAACAGTGATGTTCTCCTGTATGTCCTGAACTGCAATGGTTGTAACAGATCCCCCTGGGTTTTTTTTGTTGGATCTGTAAATTTATGTTGTAACAGATCCCCTCTGTGTTCGTTCGCGGGATCTGTACTTTATGTCAACTGCTCATTCCTTTCAAAAACCTTTGTAGGTTTTATAATCTGTTCAAAAGTCCCGAATTATCTACCGAACGTTCCGACCACCCAGATAATAAGTTTGTTCCTCATTAATGTTCGCAACAATGTTGCCATTTCATAATTAGCACTCAATTCCGCGTATGCTTTATTCTCTGGCTGGCCGCCATTTTGGGAGACGAACACGTGGCGGCGGCCATCTTAATCTCCCGAACAGTGGTGTTTGGTCGTCGAGTGTCTGGAACTCAAATCGGACACTCGACCAAGCAAACACAGTTGAAACCTCCAAAGTGCTAGAACTGATGGAAGGAAACTACCGAACGAGCCGCTGTGGATATCCTGGTGTTATCCTGGATAACACCAGGATATCCACAGATGGCAAGCCGTTCGGGACTTTGTATTCCACGAACAGAGACCGACCGCAAGGCCAAAACTTATGGAACTGTTTTCGGCTACTGTTGCCTGTGCGGTCAGTCAAAACTTTAAGTCCCTGTAACTCCCGAACCCCTGGTCCGATCTGGGTGATTTTTGAATATGTTGTTCACCCAGATCGGGGCTATCAGAGAATACCAGTGTTAGCGATGTACCCCATATATTTGTGGTACATCCAGAAACTTGGGAAAACTGTGTACATTTTAATTGGGTTAACTGTTTATCTAAGAGGAGGGGATATGTAGGATGTACCTTATTGGTTAATGTATAATTGCCTGGGGCTGTCTCCCCTGCTTAGGTGCACTGCATAAAAGGAGAGTACCTGCCATTAAAAATCAGTTCTACTTCACCCTCAATCTAGAGTCCTGTCTCTTATTGGGGGTAACCGCTATACAGCTATTCTTGTAAGAGCTTCTTCACTTGGATCACGACTGAATGCTGAGAATCCTCCTCACTGATCGGGAAAAGGACACCCTCCAGTGGTTGAAACCCCTCTGCTACACGGGGTAACCGCTACAATGGTCACATAGGGCAAACACACAAAAGTATTGTTAAAATACATGATCAATCTAAATATTCTCTGCAAGAGGAACACAATACCACACCATGGGATCAAACCCCCCTTCAGTGTAGTCCTTTATTACAATATCCTGATGTCTGTAATTAACAGTTCATTCTGTATTACTATGCCTCATATGTCTTGTATATAAATTAATTTTTTGATAGTTAACGCTAACGTTATGCCAACCCTACCATTAACACTATACCAACCCAATCCCAAATTCTATGCTTGCACTAACTCTAATCATACGCCTATCCTTACCTTACCCCTATCCTTAAACTTATACTATCCCTAACCAAAACCATAATTAACCTAACACAATATTAACCTACACTAACACTAGTCCTACACTAATCCTAACTGTGACGAAGTGCCCTTCGCCACTTGTGCCTGGAGGGGACTACTGGCTAGCCTCCTGCCTTCCGACTATGGCCCCTGTGCTGATAGCTGTATTTTACCCTGCAATAAGGTTTATTTGGGTATTTCTGCCGAGTTGTTCGGGACTTCCAGTATGTGAGTAGTGCTACCCCAGACAGCTATGCCTTGGAGCCAATTCGTGTAATGAAAGACTATGGAAAAGACTTTGGCTCCATGGCGATTGAATTGTTTGTATGTGATCTGAGCGCCATTCAATAATAATGTGCACTCAGATCTAAGCTATCTGGGGATATGTTGCAGGTATATGTTTTATGTAGTAATTGTAACATTGTGTAATTGCATGTCTTTTTGTAACCATGTGGTTAATGGAGTCTTGCCTCTGTCCTGGGAGATAAGTTGATTACTTCCCAATTATCTCCAGGATAGAGAGGAGGGATTGTGATGTCACTGTGGGAGTGTTTTGTTTGTATTGTCTGTGATTGGTTATACTGTGTCCCACCCTGTGGGATGTCCCCTTGTATGGGGACTTGCATAAAATCCAGTGTGTGGTCATTAAAACCAGATCATCTTGTACCTTTCTTGAAGCCTTGGCTCATGTTTGGAGGAAGGGATACCTACACTCTGGGGATTGCTATAATCACTTACTCTCCAGAGTAAGCTCTTGCAATAGCTTGTTTTGTTCCTGGTTCCTGCTCTCTGGATTTAGGAGAGGTTCACCCACTGGAAGCTGGATCCTGGCCTTGGATCCAGGGTGGGTGAGAGAAGGCAAGACCCCGGCGCAGCTGCATCACTGGAAGTGGGGTCAGCAGTGCTGATGGTGTCGATTGGAGTGCTTGGAGTCCTCGGCAAGCGCTAGGAGCATCGATTGGCGGAGGTACTCAGTCGGAGTGCCAGCATTCCGTCACACTAACCATACCATACACTAACCCTAACTCATAGGGTTTCCTCTACTGATATTAGTACTGACATCATCAGAGGGATTTCCCAGCTCACATAGTACAGAAAACACTGTGAGCACTCTACTGTGTGATTGTACTATGAGAGAGATCTGCTTCTCATGTTGCAGGTCCTGCAAGCTTCCCATGACGATCACATTGCTAGGCAGCTGTCACGGCCCAGCACCAGTCACCGTCAGCATCTGGGCATGCAGAGAGACCCTATCAAGCTCTTCTCAGACCTTGGTGGGCTTCTACTGTATTGAAAAATAACACGTTGAACACAATCGCTCAGTTATGGTGCTTGCAATGCATTTAAAGTGTGTGTGCCGTTCTGACTTTAAGTGCTGCATACAGCTATACAGCTTGAAGAAATAATCCTTCTAAAGGCATATAAACGTAGCCTGTGTAAATTCAGAAATACACATTAATACTCTCCCAGAACATGATTAAGAATAAGGAGTATTAGTAGTATGCAGCTTCAGGATGGTGGGATTAGCAGAATGTCCATGACATCCTATTTAAAAGACAATTCCCCCCCCCCTTCTTTTTTGTGCTGCAACAACATGTGCTGCCACCTCCATTGGCACTACAGCTCCTTCTACCACAGCTAGTTCAGGTGTCATATACCTTTTTGGTGCCCCCACAAGAAGACACTAAGGGAAAGGGTAGCATAGTCTACTATGTGAGGATCATCTGGGTCATCTTTCAGTGAAGAGGTAAAGTAGAGTACCAAAGTAGTGTTCTCAATGTAGCTGTTGGTGGTGGCAGTGACAAAAATTCTGTTTCCCACACCACTGCAGACATAGCACTTGAATCTCTTGTCCCAGAACTACTTGATTATGATTATGGTAAACCAGAGGAATTACAAAAGTAGAGTGTGCTGAGAACAGGCAGCGGCCCAGTATTTTCTCCTGTCATTAGTGTGCACTCACCCCCTGCATCTCCATTTTCTCCAAGTCTATCTGTATCTGCTGTAGAATGGCCTCACCCAATGGAGAGAGTTGTGACATCACCTTCACCTACAATCACTTGCTAAAGTAGCTTACCCACTGTCAGTGCTACCACCACCATTACTACCACCATCAAAGTCCCCTTTCCCGGCACCTTCAACATTCTGTTAGCATCAGTCAACCATGTGCTAGGAACTGCTTCCACTGCCACAGATGCAAACCCACCTGCAACCTTAGCAGACACAGGGCTAAAGGGTTGAGAGTACTGTATCACAGAACAAAGAAAAGTTTGAGTGCTTCCAAAAATGCAGACTTGCAAAGTATTAATTGTGCGGTAAGGAAATGAATAAAGACGTGTGACTGGTCATTTCACTAGTGCCTGTATGAAGTAACATCTGCACCACAACTCTTTGCAGCACAAGCAGAACAAGAAAGTACTAGGCATGCAGCAGGTCTACTGGTGCATTATATGATTCTGCAAGGCTGTCACAATCTACCACCAGCTTACCTTCTCAAATTCTTCTACTACCTAAGTTCCTCCTGCCTAAGTGTTACTGACAGAGCCACTTGGGCCCTTAGAATTGTTTTACTGATTTGTGATTTATTTTATTTTATTTCTAGTAAGAAACAGAATTGATTTGCAGTGTACCACTGCTTCTATGTCACTGCTTTTGCTTTGGAATTCACAAGCTTCTTTCCTCAATAATATACACAGTGTGTGGCTGCATTTTACTGCACAAGTGAACCCTAATTTTTGCTGACTCAAAAAAAATACCAAACATATCCTATTCTCCATTGTTTGTCTCATAGTCTTTTCTCCTTTTATTCCTTGTTCTTTTCTTGCCTTGTGTATAGTCTACCATATTTTTGTGGTCTGTGTTTCTTTTTTAGTGCTGCATCAATACATTTTAGCCACCTAAAGATTATGCATACATTGTCAGTGTTTCAGGCCTTTAATCCCATTAAGCAGTTTACAGCATTGTTATTTAGAGTTCAGAATTGATGTGGATATAGTGAGGAAAGCAAAACATGCTAATATAGGGGGCAAAGCGAATCCACTTTTTCTTTTTCAGAAGTCTTTCAACACGGGTGTTTTTTTATTTTGGTTTTTTTCTTAAATGTGTATGAAGCATGAACATCTGAGACAGAGGAAATTGCATAACATTGTTATAAGGAGGTAAAAATTGATTTTTTTTTAAGCATATGTTTGTGCAGCCTGACTGAGCGCATCTTTAACAGGACTGTCTGCTAAAGCAAAGATTAATGTCAGGCCATAGAGCATTCATCACTGTTTTCTCTTCATTGCTGACATTGGCACAAATCAAAGACAAACTCATGAATGCAATATCTGCACGATTGTAAATCAAGGATGAAAACACTGCATCTCCGTTAAGGGCCACAGTTGTGAGCCCTGTCCATTTCAATTTTGAAAAGAAGGAAGACCCTTCGGGCTAGGTAATGATTCATTCATGTCCTATCATTTTAAGTTTTTTTTCTCTAGTGGGATGTTCTCCTGCTTAATGATTTCTCGTTTATGGCTAGAAACCAGGATCATTATTGATTCCAAGAGCTGGCCGCTACCTAGTCTGGAACAGAATACAAATGCAATGAGGGAGAGCATTTCACAGACATAAGTAGCCATCTAGAGGGTTATAATTTTACCGTTAGCGAGCCATTGATTGGGCCGGTCTAGAGAAGGACTTTCAAGTAATTACAATCATTGCTAAGCAGAGATATTCATTAGAGGTTGATGCACGGTGAGGAATGGCACTTAAATGGGAACAACTCATCATTTATGCCATGCTCCTGGCTGTCTACTGTCCACCCATTTTCATCTGCTATTCTCTTTCATCTTTATCATCTTTTGCTGCTGCCTACCAGTTGTGGAATTTCCTCAGTTGCTTTCAATTCACGTCTAAGAATACTCCATCCTCAAGAAGAATGTAAGGAGTACTCTGAGAGCAAACAACAGCACATCTTTCTAAATATCCACTGTAAACAAATGTCTACTGATGCTCTCGCTCTCTCCTGACACCAAACAGACCCTTACAGTGTTATGATCTGAGGTGAAAGAAATATTCCTTTTACCATTTAGAGCAGCACATCTATAGTTATTTTTTTGGCTGTGTATGCTGTCTCATTTTATTTAATTAAACAAAACTTGTTAATATGTTGCACCGAGCAAATATAGAGAAAATGTGCAACTCCAGTCAGTATGATTTGAAAGCTGTCATAGCCCTTACACCAATAAATAAATCTACGAAGTAGTATTACAAATGTAATTCTTAGCACAGTGCTAACCATTTGTGAACCAGGTGAATGACACATGAAACAACTAGATCAGGGATAGGCAACCTTCGGTGCTCCACATGTTGTGGACTACACCCCCCATAATGCTCTTTCATGCATAATGCTGGCAAAGCATCATGGGACATGTAGTCCAAAACATCTGGGGTGCTGAAGGTTGCCTATGCCTGAACTAGATGCAGACTGACTCAGATGCATACTCTCTCTCAGTGTGTGTGTGTGTATGCGTGTCATTAGCAGTCCATCTAGCCAGATACTCTGCTCTGGAGGGTTAAAAGAATAACCTACATTTCTATTAATTAGTAACACATGATAAATATAGAAAATGTATTTTTAGAGATTATAAATGGACACTTACAGCAGACATTTAATAAATTAGCAATCACTCAGTTTATGCACTTTATGATTAATATGTCAGTACTGAGTAAGTTAGGTGTGCCGATGTCCCATTAATTAAATATAATGGGGAGTAATGTGCCATGCTTGGTAGGTCGTTTGGGCAGTTTTTCAGTATGATAAAATTGTGTTTCCATAAACAAAAAGAAAATAGCAGTACTCAGCAAAAAGAACAAGACATTAATTATATATAACCAGCAAAGGAAATTGAAATTGATATTTATTACTCAACACGAGCTTATAAACAGGCTCTAACTCAAGTAAAAAAACAAACTTTAATACAAAAAGAAATGCTTGCCCTCCAATGTCACAAAAAAAAAAATTCTCAGTCAGGCTGGACCTTTATATGATATACATTTTAATGAACATGAATTTTCAAATAACAACAGACTATGAACAGACCAGGGGGGGAAAAAAAGCAAGGACACAAAAGAAGAGATGTATTATCTCGGACATTCTTACATCCTGCTGGGTATTAAGATGACATGACTGCCTAGCTCCCCAAATAAACTTCAACTAGTCGGGTACCCCAACCTCGTAGATTAAAACAGACATCTAAGTAGCTGTATAGGTTTGGCTACAGCTTTATATTTAAAAAAAAAAGTATAACACATTTGCCTAACATACCAGAACTTGTTAAACCTGAAACATCAGCGTGTGGCGTGTAATATTTTGTAATGTATACTTATGAATATATACCCTAAATGCATATTCTACTTTACCCATGCACCATAGGGTTGTGTACCTTTGGGCTTTCTTTGGTCAAAACACTTCTCTCCAACCAAAAAGTATTAAAAGGTAGTGTGTGTTTATTAATTCTGATATAATGTGAGGAAGTATCTCAATATTAAGCACTGCGCTAGTTTCAGTTTTTTCTTCATAAGGTTCTCACAGGATAACTGGCACTTCTGACCAAAGAGGGCTTAAATATTGCTGCCATTTAAAAAAGGTATGCCAGAAGATGCAGTGACATATTTTTTATTTACTTACATGTATGCATGTGCACTGTAAATTATTATGTGAAAAACGAGGATTTTTTAAAATTAAGTTTCTTCTTTGTGTAACATTAATATGATATCTGGTGCATCGGAAAACTGGAATTATATAAACTATAATGGAACAACATAAAGTAACATTGAAGTGGAATGAATTAAAATAAAATGAATAAACACAAAATGAATAAAAGTTAAATGAATATTATTTTCACCTACTGTTCATCCTTTCAAGCAGTACTGTGATGAAGTGCCCTTCGCCACTTGTGCCTGGAGAGGACTAATTGCCAGCCTCTTGCCTTGTGACTATGGCCCCTGGGAGAGTTTGCCCTTTAAAAACATTATTTGGGCATATTGGATTTTATTGCACTGTTTCTGCCCCTTTGATTCCATGAGAGAATGTGCCTCTTCCCCTCCCCCCTTTAATGTCCAAAAAGACAGAAGCTGATCCAGGGTGGAAGTAAGACGGCGAGACTACAAGTTAAGCTACGGCAGTTGTGGAGTCTGCGGTGGTTGTGGTGTCCGGTGTGGTGCTTGTGGTCCTTGGCGCAAGCTAGGAAGCGTCCATCAACGGAAGGTACTTGGTCGGAGTACAGATGAATCCGTTACAAGTACGCTTTATATTTCAGACAGGAAATACCATTTGTCTCATGTAGTCAGTCATATCATGGCTAAATATCATGCTTATTGGTATGTGGAATGGAGCTGATGGTATATTTGTGAATACAGTTCCTAAAAATACCACTAGAGTATCAGTACATTTCTGTATATAGGCATATTTCTACATGTAAAAAATAGCTACTTGGATAACAGCAAGAATCCATACAATAGGTTGGCTTTGAAGACGTTTGCTTATACCTGAAGAAGCCTTCCAATAGATCCAACGTTCTCCCTCTCCTGTTATGCAAGAGTGCAGCAAAAAAAATGTCAGCTTCAAAAATTACCCGGTAAATCCTTTATTGTAAACCACAATTATATTTGTATTGAGGTCAACTGAATTGCTCCTTCCTTTTTATTCTGTGTTGTATACCTCATTTAATTGGGTATAAGTACAGCTCATTTCAAAACAATACCAGGTACACTGCTGGACGGTGGAGTAATCCAAGTTAATATTTTACTATAGAATCAGTAATGCTCACATGAGAATCCTATATAAAATATAGGATTTGCATATTTATTAAACACAGAATTTCAATTGCATTTATGGTTAACACATTTGGAGAAAGCAAGTTTTAAAAAATAAATCACTGGTTTTTTTTGCAAGCACGTTTGCTAAATTTGTGTATTTGGAAAAGTTGACAATGCAAAATAAACTTAATAATATTAACTTAAATACATACGTTTTAGTTATTAGGGCATTTTGGACCCTTTTATGGAGTTAAAGAAACACTACAAGCACCATCGCTATTACATTCTGTATTTTAGTATGGTTTGACAACCTTTTGGGTCCCTCAAGGTGCCCTTGGTTGCATCTTGTGCATCATGTCTTCTCCAGGATGAGAAGCCTGATGTCTCTGTCCATAGCCCTGATTGCTGTACAGAGGAATTCAGATTATTTTGCTAGAGAAGCATAGATGCAGGTGATGCTGTGGTGGCCACCTGGCAGGACTAAGCTAAATTGTCAAACAGTGCTAGAATGATTTTGCATCTTACCATAGGTCAGCATCATGGCCTTCCTGGCATCATAACCACTACAGCAGGCTAATGTAGCAACTTTTTCTCTTAAGGAATTGTGATGCTCATGACTTTTTGTTTGTAATTATATCCAATCAAATTTTCAGGTAGACAGTTGCCAATTATAATTATAATTGTATTTAAAGCTTTAAAAATGCATAATTATATAATTTGGTTAAATATTTCATCTGCTTGTAGTGTTTTCTCATGGTCTGGTATAATATGTCAAGTTAGAGTGAAAACATGTATGTTATCCTGGTTGTCTGACTCGCTAAAGAATACCAGATTTAAATAGACCATTGCAATTGGTTTATACTGGGATAAGATACACAGACATGTGCATCCACAGCGAATGCAATGCTGGGGGGGTGATAAGTAACCTGACTAGTCTGCCCATGCAATAACCACGGTACAATCTTTTATTTTTCTTAATGTAGCATTAACTCTGTAGGGAATAGAAAATTTCATGCTACTTAAAGGAACACTATAGAGTTAGGAATACAATGATTTCCTCTAGGAGAGCATTGGGAGGCTAGTGCAAAATGCAG